TGCCTGAATGGAGACTGTGATAAATTGTCTAAGGGAAGAGTTGTTATATTCAGTTTCCAGGCAGCTCAACAGAGGAACAAAGAGCCTAAGCTTGTTAAGACTTCTGAAATTGTGTAAATTACAAGCACATTTAGGAAGACTCAAATATCCTGACATCTAATCCTTTGCTAGAATATATGCATAGTATGAAACATTAGTTTTCATCTGAAAATGAAAAGTGTCACTAAATAACATTGTCAAATCTGAGAAACTCTGGGGATTAGATCTGGGTTTTTACACTCCTCTAGATCTTTTCCATGTAAGTATTTATTCCCTGAGTAAGCAACTGTCTACCCATATGATGTCCCCTGGGCTCACAGTGCTCACCTATAAACACAGATTATTTAGCCTTATTGTCTCTTCAGCATCACTGAGTAATTTCACACAAGCGATAGGGGATTTCCCCATCCAGAAGCACCCATAGTTTGGCAGCTCCTTCTCCAGCCCTTGCTGCTATGTGAGTAGGGCCAGACCAATACCCCATCACTGGGGAGGCAGGAAAGAGACAGCAAAGCCAAGTCAGAAAGGGACAGGAGTGCTGTGCTGTCCTCTGCACCAAGAGGAAAAACCATTTCTGGAAACCCTGAGGCAAAAGCTTTCCCTGCAGAGTGAACTGGGTGGTGATGAGTTGTTCAGTTTTGTTTCCCACCCCCAGATGGCATTTTATCAGTGGTTGTCTAGCAGTCCTGCATCTTCAGATATTAAAAGTGCAAAGCACTGAAAGGAGTGTGTGACAGACATGCTGCTGCAGTGATTAATGTGCTCATCCAGGCTGGTGGCTCATCACCCAGTCAATTAATCATTCTCCGGTAGTTTGGAAATCATTAAATTCCATACAATTTTCAATGTCTTTTTACCATTAGGCAGGTTTTCCTTTGAAGTGTGATATCACCAATTCTGAGTTTCTTTCCCACCTCATTTTATCTCTTCACTGCCTGCTAAAATGTATTTCATTATGACTACTGCTGTGCCAGGTGGGTAATTTCATTTTGTCACTACAACCTCTCTAAGGATGCACTCTAGCAAATGTTAAGTATGTGGAGGACATTTTCTCCTTCATTTCAGCTGTAGTTCCTAGGAGTTTCTACTCCTGCACAAGAGGTCTAGCTCCAACAAGAGCTATTTCCATCCAGCTGTTGCTAGGAGAGAAGGAGTTGGTGACCAGCATCTTGCTATCCTGCCAGATAAGGTGGAAGTTAGTTACTTTATGCATGAGAGGAAACAGAGGTCTATTATTTGATCCCAAAAGAGCTCCAGCAAAAGGGAATTCATGTCCATTTCTCTATCTCACTGTGAAGGAGGACATATGAAGGTGGTGGACTGAAGGACCCCTCAAAACACTGAGAGGGCAAATGAGTTATAACAAAACTTGGTAATCTGACCTCCTAACTTTCAGATTTTCGAGGACTTTTCACAGCTTTTCTCTCATCTCATTTTTCCTTTTCTAAGTTTCTGCATTTGGCAAGCTTCCTACAAAAAAATAAATCTTCAGCTTGGTTACTCTTATTAGTGATGTCAGGCAGGGAATTTTGCAACCAGAGACTCTGTGCTAGAAAAGGTTTTCAGCAGATTTGGTAAGAAACATGAGGCAACAAGCTCTATTTTGAGAAGGAAAATGATCGATCGCTACCTCTGCACAAAGAGAAACAGAAGGTTACTTATTTAAGTGAAGGCTATGAATAAAATAAGCACTGCACTTTAGCTGAGTAACCTAGAAATGGGAAAAAACAAAATACAGTACAGGGTCATAAAAGCTGGATTTAGCAGGAAGCAACCAGGGCAAACATCGTCCCAAGGACAAGCCTTGGGAACAGCATACTTCATCTGCAGGTGAGATAAAATGGGGAAGACTCCTACCTCATCCTCTGCACAGAACCCCACCAGTCTTATGTAAACTTTAAATTAAAATACACATGGTATGCACACAAATGCATGCATGCAAATGTATATGGTGAGTACATCCACCATTCTGCCTTGTAATGCACTGGTAACTGGAATGCAAAGCAGAAGGAAAAGCACACTTTCTCTCTTGTTGATTCATGTTTTGCTGTCATCTGTCACTGATGTGAATGACTGAAGAAGTAGGACAATGAAGTTTAGGCCTGTAGTCTTAATCTCACTGTATTCTGAACAATAACATTTTCACTGTGTTCAGCATCAGAGAACCTGTCCTTTTAAGTACAAAGAACTAAATTCAAACAGCGGTATCTTGCCCTTGGAATGAGTAGTTGTTCAAATGACTAGGTTGTAAAAACTAAGTGAATACTTTATAAAAGTATGTCATGATTTAGAGTCAAAATGCCAATCAAAATTTCTAACGGCTTGAAGTTAGTCTTTTTTCTCTTGTGATGAAGGTAAATTGTTAGTTCACCATTTGTGTTAAGGAGTTGAGCAATGCACAGGGCTATCTTCAGCACAGCTAGCTGGAACTCATCCCAAAATTTGAAATACTCATAACCTAACACTTAACAAGCTCAGCATCAGGCACAGCAGTGCAAGTACAATGTTTTAATCCACAAAATAGTAAACTACAGATAAAGATAGAAAGTGCTTTGATTTGATCATTAGATGCCTAATTGTCTTCAACCTTAAGCACCATGAAAAATGCAACAACTCCCTGATGAATCATCAGAGAATTCTGGTAACAAAAAAATTTAAAAAGTGCTATTCAAGTGGGAGAAGGGATACCTTACCCAAAACATCATGGAAGGTTTGAACCCAAATGTTCAAAGAATATTAAAGTAGTTTAGAAAGAATAGGGAGAGAGTTTGCCATACAAAAGCACACAAAAAAGCTTTGGCTCATATCTAGAAGTTTAAAGACAAGACTGAGAGACAACCCGATTGATGCCTGCATCTAGCCTAGGAGAGTGAAGGGAAAAGAGCAGGAAGGTGAAGGTCTCTTAAGAACAAATGCATTGATTATTAATAACTTTGGACAGGAATTAGAAAGTTCCTGAACACCTGAGTACTGAGGTTCTAAACCCACCTTCCAACAGGACCAAAAGGCAGAAAAAAAAACATTGCCAACCCATAGACCCTGAGAAATTAATCAATGAGATTGACTTTGCCATCCTATGTTTATCAGGGTCTGGACCAGATAGCAAAGACCAGATCTTCTGGATTTGTAAAACCTAAACCAGCCTTTCCTTTTTCTGCACTATTCACACTTCTGGCACATAAGGGTGCAATGCAGACTTTTAATTTTTAGGGCAGTATTTTGAAAACATCTTATTTGTCCAAGCGTGGTTTCCCCACACAGAACCACGTTGTCAGAAAGGCCTTGAAGACAGTTCAGGGCAGCTGCATGGCAGTGCACACAGGCTTGCCTTGCACTGACCCCTAGTGAAATAGCAACGTGGCAGCAGATTTGGTGTAGGTCAGAGCCTACCTATACTGTACCTACCCTGGGGCTACTACAGCCAGCTGTTTAGAATATGCTAGTTCATTTTGTAAAAGTGTCTCCTTTTTTCATGCTAGAGACGCTTTTAGTGAAAGTGTTATACACTGTATCTGGAGAAAAGGAACATAATTACTGTGAAAAACTATGCAATACATACAGATGTGCTGTCCGGACTGATTTATATACAAATGCAAAGTAGTGGATAATAATGGCAGGAAACAAAGAAGCAGGAAGTCAGTAAAATTGAAATAAAGAGATACAGCTGTGGACTGCATTCACAGTAAATTGCTTAATTTGGACCCATTATTTACATTACTTCATGTGCATGGGAACTTAGAACTAATGACCCACAGTTTTCTTCCAGGCCTGAGCAGCAGCCATCATGAGAGGAAGGCTCTCATAATTAGTCAGTGTCTTAACATAAAACTGTTTATATTCACCAAAGGTAGCTCTGAATAGAAGAAACCCACAGAAAGAAATGGATTTCTGCTGCTGTTGTTATTATCCCAATTTGTGTGTGTTTGTAATAATCCTGTGTTTACATCCATCATAGCTTTCCAGGGGAAGGAAAGGTGCAAGATTACCTCTCCTAGCACCTTCATTTTTAGACCACTTGAATAGGGATGTATCTGAGAGCAGATGGTCCCCACAAGAATACCCCTTGATGAGAAGTTGGCAAGACATTGCTGGAAATATGACTGTATTACACATGTGCTTGAAAATACTTGGTACCTCTCTAAGACATCCTGTAGAATTTCTTGGTGCAAAGGAAGCATCCAGAAGCATTACATGAGAAAAAGTGCATTGCATACATCCTTCAAAATATAGACTGTCCAAGGGCCTCCATTGAGATACAATTCACTGTTGCCACGAGTGGTGTAATTACAGTTGCAGGCCTGGTCAGTAAGCTCTCCTTGGAGTTCAGGGTATCCTGTGTAGTCCAAACCTGTTGACTTTGCAGAGCTTTAGTACAGTAGCTCCAAAGCTACTAGAAATGAACAGGATTGGAGTGTGTAGTTTCTAAAATTACTTTTGTGATTATCATACTGTTGTGCTAATAATCAGCACATCACTTGGGGGGAAAAAAAGTAAAAACAAAAATCAAAATCCACCAAACAGAAAACTCACAACTTCAAAAAAATCACATAAAAGAATCAGAGTAATGTATTTCTGTTTGAAGGGAACTTGAGAGAGTCATATATGAAGATATGGAAGTTCATGACTAAAATAAAGTTTAAGCATTTCTGTATTTTACTTGTAGTTCCCATCCTTGGTCACATAGTCACCTGCAGGTAGAAACGAAGGTGACATTGACTTGTTTTAAAAGTACACAGATAAGATTTGAGTGAAGAAGCCAGCTTCTGGCTAGCTTAAGCTGGTGCTTATTCCAGTTCCTTTTGAAGTCATTGCAAATCTTTCTGTTGACTTGAATAGAAGATGAATCAGACTCCTCAGCACTGAAGTGAATCACAGATTAAAACAGAAATATTTGTATGACAACCTTATATTAAAATGAGTCACCTGTGGGTAGTGGGGTGCTGAGGTACTGCTGAGGAAGCACCATTTCTGTCTGAGAAGTGGTTGGACTGACTTTTTGGATTTCCTAAATTATATTCACCTGGACTCATTCCTTCAGTGGTTAGCTGTAGGTTCATCAGAGACACAATCTGCAGCATTACTATTTACATAACTAAATGAGGACCTGAGTTTGATTTTCATCTGAAGATCCTTGGAAGAGTCAAAAATCTGTTCATCACATCTTGGAATCCCTGTAGGAGAGAAGCAAAAGTTACACTATCAGACATAGTCAAAGATGCGAAGCAAAGTGTCCCAGTGCTTACTGAGAAAGTGCAGAATTGCTGGAAATACAAACAGGGGCTTGTGCTTTTTCATCCACAAGTATTCTAACATGGCAGAATGAATAAGGCTTTGTGTCCTGACAGCACCTTTGGGTTGCCCCACATCCTGCTGTGGGAGTCTGTTCATGGCCACTTCAGTGGGAAGGGCCATGGAGCATCTCAACAGTCAATACCCTTGAAACGATACATGATGATATACTGCCCCAGTAATAACAATAAATAACAATAAATAACAATAAATAAATAATACCGTGACTTCAGAATAAATATTTTGAAAGTTGATAAAGTAACAATAAAATCACAGCTAAAATACATTCAAATATTAAGAAGTGCAAACAATTAAGGTTATCACTGCAATAATGTTAGAACCTAGAAGTCTTAATTTTGCAGAATATTTAGCACTTTTTTATTGCTCAGAGCTTAGCTTCTGTGACTGCTGTATCAGCTATGAGCATTCACTTTTCCTCTCACCACAGCTGTGTGAGGGCAGGCAAACAGAAACAAGGAACAAGATAGAAAGCACCTGTGGAAAAAAAGGCCATGTTGAATATCAGAGTGCATCAGGTAGGACTGAATCTAATTCCCCAGGAAGTCACATAGTATATCTATCTTCTCTGAAACCATTTTGAGAACGACTTTGTTATTGTTTATGAAATTCTGTAATCAGTAGGTTGTAAGGAATCATTGAGGGGTCTAAGAAACCATATATATACTGCAGCCTTAGATCTCCCAGGATCAACTCTACCTGAGTCTATAACTAAGTGTACCACCAATATCTTTAAAAGTTCCACAGTTTTAGGGCATTAGAGAGTCCTAGACAAAGCTCATCAAATTCAGCTTGTCTGAAAACATCTGACTTAAGGACATAAAACCACAGAACTGTAGAAAAATAATAGGACAGATGGACCACTTGCAATCTAGTACCTAGACCTAGGTGCTAGAATCTAGTACTACATCTTATCCAGAGCAGGACTCAGAGTTTGGTCAGACTGCTCATGATCTTGCCCTTACAGTTGTTTAAAGTCCCCCAAAACAGGGATTACTCAACCACTCTGGGTAACCTCTTATGGTAATTATTTTTTTTCCTTATGTGCAATTACAATTCCTCATATTTAATCTCTTGGCCCTTGGGGCTTATTCTCTTACTGTGCCCCCTGAGAAGAATCTGGGTCTATATCATCTATAACACTGTAGTTAGATCCTCCCTTATCCTTTTCTTCTCCAGGTTAAACACACTCAATTCCCACTCAAACGTCCTTTACTCCAATTCCCTAAACATCTTCAATGCACTCCACTAAGTCAATCTCTCTCCGACACTCAAACGTTGAAATCTTTCCCTTTGTCAGTGAATCAGTATGATAATCACTTGATTGCATGCTAAAAAGGCATTAAAGAGTTCAGCCTTAACATCATTTATTTACAGGTATCTTCCTTTAATAAGTAGTAAAGAATTTTTTCTGTTTTGTTTTTCTTTTTGATGCCAATATCTTTCTACACCATTTCTTGTTGCAGCTGGTGTCCCTTCTAGATGAATCATTCTATTAGCTGATTTTTATGTTTGCCTTTATATGCTTTCGTGCTCATCCTTAATGTGAAAACCAGTTTCTACCTTCTAAATGCTGTTTTTAAGTCATTGACTGCATCTGAATTATTCTCTTACTGCATTTCCTATATTTTTTCCATAATCAAAAAGAATTTGTGCCCTTGCCAATATGACTTTAGAGGGCTGCCAGGTTGTTTTAACTACATTTTCCCCTTCAATCATCTTCCCAAAAGATTTTACAAAGCAATAAGCTGAGTTAATTGCAGTTCTCTACTTGAAATCTGTGGTTTTATTAACAGTTATTCTCCATTGCTACTATAAGGAGTGTGACTAAATAAACATATACTGATGCCCACACCCTGAAAAATTTAAGACCAAAAATCAGTCCATCGGTATAAAAAAGTAAAAGCACCTTAATTTAAACAAACAGGTAATCAAGTCAAAAGTTAAAGCGAGTCCTACTTACCTCACTCACTAGCATCTTGGTCCTTTACTTGTACTGATAAACAACAAGAGGCTGCAAGCTGTGATTAAGGCAACCTAAAAAGACAAGTAAAAGGTAGGAAATGAAGATCTACTGTTCATGACAGAGAAAACTGAGGCACAGAGATATAGAAGTAATCTGCACAAATAGTGCAGATTTTTTTTTTTTGCAATAGTCAACACAGAACTGACAATCAGGAATTCCCTGAACTGTATTCTCAGATACTTATTTGATATCTTCTGTTGTTTGAGGAAATCACTGTCATTAATTTAAATGAAATTTTGGCACTAAAATATCTTTAAAGTCTCTGGTGTCAGAATACTAAAAATCAGGTAGGCATCCATTTGGAAAGTGCCAAGGGGATTTGAAAGGGCAGAAAACAACAGTGCTTAGTTTATGTAAACAAGGAAATATCAACAATAATATATTTCAATTATGCATGTGTATGCGTATTAAAAAACCTCTGTGTTGCCTACAGAAACAGTCAGTGTTATAAACTGTGATGGATTCTTTCTAAACCTACTTCCTTTGTCTATCAAAAAAAAATTGTCATTGACTGAAGAAAACCAAGAAGTTAATAGGAAATCTTACCATTAAAAAAGAAAATGCAAATACTTTAGAACAGAAATGAAATATTCTAATAAAAATATACTTAAAGCATAAAAGATTCAAGGCTGAAATTTAGTAAATAGGTTTACTATAAGAATAAGCTTCAGGTTTGGAATTAGAATGATCTGAAAACATTGAACACATTAAACATGACCTTTAAGCTTCAATTTCGTGTGTGGGAGTGTGAGGTTAATGAAATAGCTGAAAGATCATATTTGTAAGAAATCTGCCTGCTGGTGGAAGTAATGTTAGTCTAGCCAATGCTGTTAACATTCTCCACAGTCAGTGGACTCTGAGGTCTGACGTGTTATTTACTTGATGAAGTGTTTTATTCTTGAGCCCCATTTTTTGTATTTCCTTTGTTTTCTTCATGTTTTCCATGATTTCAAGTGCAAGAATAAGTAGGTGACCTTTTGGCTAGGCCAAAACTGTGCATCCAAATCCTGGAGAGCATTCAGACTGAGAGAAGAACTTGGTGCTTCAAATTCTTTCCTACATTTTGGGGTCTGGTTTTGTTTGTACCTGAACTGTAAGATTGGTATTAAACTTGCTATATTTGTGTACATTAAAAAAAAAATTAGTTTATGCTTTCTTTCAGTGTGTCATATAGATAATCTTTGCTATGTAGCTTTTAGATTTAATTCTTGCTGGCAAATAAGCCTCTGGCTTCCAAGTCCAACAAGTAATTTGCTTCACTAGTTAAGTTGTATGGTTAAACAGCACACCCAAAAAAGGAAGAGGGGTGAAATACCAAAGATATCAGAAAAAAAATTAAAATCTTATTGTGAACATTGATACAGGAGTGGATGATTCAGACTGGGTTTCAAAATATTTCCTCAATAACATTCACTTATATATTATTGCCTCTGACACGAGAACAGGTAAGCCAGGGGTCCAATTAGGTTTTTTCCTTACATCAAACACTCCCAAAATGCCAGAAGGAGGAGGAAGACACATTATTCTGTGCTCACTGCATCCCTGCTGTACAGGTCCTTTACTGGGCAGTGACATGTTGTCCACAGTCCCAACCTGAGCCCTGTAAATCATCCCATCCCAGCTGAGGCCTGGGAGTGAATTGCCTCTCTTAGCTCAGTGGACCTCCAGGCTCTGTAGTGTATCCTGTATCCTCCAAGCTTGCTGGCTTGTTTGTTTGCTTCTTTTCCCAAAGTGGAGAGCATCTTTTCCTTTCTGCTCCACTCAGAAAGCAACAAGCACACACAAACTGGGAGTCTTCCCCTCCATCACCCAGGAGACCTCGGCTGTGGGAACATATGTTGTGATGCAGAATATATAACTTGCAGACAAGCACATCAAACATCACTATCTGAGACATCGTAGAAGAGCAAGCAAGTAATATCAAGTATTTTACTGATTTTAGGGGCTTTACTGATTTAACTGTCACACTTTCTGTCAGAACAAAGATTATTGGGAGTAGTTGACAAAGACATACTATATACAGAGTACCTTCTCGATATTCAGGACAGTGTAAAGGTCTCATTTCCCTTTCTTTCTCTGTCTTGTATCTTACTGTTGTCTTATACATCATAATCTCTTTTTAGCAGGAACTTTTTGATGTGCCATTCACCCCCCGGTGCTTTTTTACACACACAGACATACATTAAAAGAACATTAAAGATATGCCAAAGACTTAAGACTGTCAGCATTAAAATCGATTGTGTGGTTTTAATTTGGTCTCTCGTGTATACATGCTATGATGCAGCTGCTAATATTTTCCACAGAACCTCTGACTCCATCAAGTCAAAGGATGGACAGAGCTTACCAAATGAGAAGCTATACGATAGCTCATTTGTCCTCATTTATGGCATATAATTAAAATTGTTTTAATGCAAAAATATCCATTTTCTCATGGCCATTTCTAGAATTTTCATCATTACAGTGATTCCCTTGCACAGACATTCACAGACTTAGTGTTTGTAAGACAAAAAGACTGTTACTGGGATTTTTCCATAGGGTGATGAAAACTTGGGGAATCAGATCTCTTAAAGCATAGACTCAGTTGCTGCCTAGATGACAAAGGAAGTTTTGCATCTTCAGTTGGATTGGATGAGACACTAAACAGCTCTTCTGATGAATTATTATACCCTACATGACTGCTTCCATAAATATATGACCACTGATATTGGTTATCTTGAACTACACACCAAACATCTCCATCCTATGTGACCATTAGTGCAGCTGCAGGGACAGTTTCTCCTAACTATCTGTGCGTAATTTATCCATGTTTGAGTTTGACTTTCATCGGTTCTGTAGAAGGAACTGCCTAGGAGAGTCTCAGTGATGGGCAGACTCTCAACCTAGGATAGTCATCGGCACACTGAAGCACACAGGTGCCCATTTAGGCACAGCAAGAGAAGTCTGGGGAAAATATCCAGGATCATCCAAAATTGCCACCTGGAGAGTTCCTGTGACAATTAGTCAAATGCTTCATCATGAATGTTGTTACTAGTTCAGTCAATCAGCTGGCATCAGGGTGGCCTATTTTTTCATTCTGGTCTATTGTTTCAGATAGGCAGATGAGCTGGGGACTGTACAGCAAATTAATGGTTTCAGGTTGCTGGGTGTGCACAAGGCACAGCCGTGATACTCAGCTCCAGCAGCTCCACCACTACTATTCATCTGCATCTCACTTCTATCTTAAGCCTCACAGCTCAGTTCACAACTCACAAATATTACTTGCTTTCTCTTCTGTGTTAGAAAGAAGGTATGTTTTGGTGGGCAGAGTCTCTCCTCATTACTGCTGCCCCATTTTCTGCAGGTTATCCTTGTCCCATGCCAGTCCTTGATTTAACTATTTTACCTCATTCTGCTTATATATTCCCCTGCTCTGATCCCTTCCCTTCAGATTGTCCCAGTCTGGGGATGTAAGGTGTTCATACCAATCTACATCTGTTTGCATTACCACTCCAAATCTGTTTTTCAGGGATCCTCTTTGCAGCTCCCAACTTCCTTTTATTCAAGATTTTCTTTCTAGTTTTTCCCTGGAGTCACGAGGTTCACCTGAGACTAAGGACGGGTTGTCTTACCCCCTCCTCTGTCTGAACCTAGCCTTTTTGTCTGTCAGTGCATGGTCAGTGCATTTCCTTAGCTCTTCACTGGATTTTTGACTCCTACCTCCCAATTCCATTGCCGATTTTCATCTCTCGCTTATAGTGTTTGTCTTTGAACCTCCTGCACCTTCTTAAGATCCCAACAGGTACTACTATTCCCAAGATCTTTATCCTAATCTACTCCCTCTGCCATCCAGACATTTCCAGAATTTTTCTGTTTTTTAGTCAAATCTCTCTCTCCTTCCTACTGAGGAGGTCAGCAGTAGGAGAAGCACGATGCATTCATGGAGGAGAGGCTCCCGCACCCTCCCAGGAGATCCAAGCAGCACCAACATTTTAGTTGTGCTCAGCCCATGCAGCTGCAGTGGAGACATACACAGATCGGAGCTGCAGCATCAGTATCCACTGTTGAGAACACGTCAAAGGCCTGTAAATTTGCCAAATTTAGGCAGTTTCTCTCAGGGATAGTGCAAGGCTCATCCTTGATAGAAGAATTGAACCTGACCAGCTTTTCAGCCTGTGTGCCAAGATTCAGATCAACTTAGTAAAAAGGTACCAAAGTTTCTTACCGCAGCTAAAGTCTGCCCCTCCCTCCCTTCCTATCATTCCCAGAAGCTGAAAAAAAGCACTAATGTTAAAATTTATAAACAAAATGAAATATTCTGTCCCCAGCAGCTGGTAAGGAAGGTTCACCCTTCACAGTCTTAGTCTGCAAAAGTTAAAAGAAAATGAAAACAGAGACCTGCAATAGGAAGTGTCAAGAAATGCAAATTATGGGCAGACCTACTGATGCCTCCTGCACGAAAGAAACAATTGGCCTAGATTTCTGCTCAGTTTTGCTTTATGCTGTTTTTTAGCACTTTTCATTATGCCCAAAACTCATAGATGCAGAAAAACAAAAAATCCATATGCTTCTATCAAGAAAGAGGGACCATGGCTGTGGAGCTGGGAAGGAGCTGATACTGTAAAGTAACACTAACTGTTGGATATAGTAGAAATAAAGAAAAACAGTTGTACAGCATGCAGCATAGAGGTCTAAAGGAAGGTGAGTAAAATACTACCTTTTCTTTCTATTGTCTCTCTGTTCATGCTCTGCTGTTACCTTAAGACTGAGTCACCCCTTGCTCCAGGCAGGCCTATTGTCTCTTAGTACAATTCATTGCCTATGAAATGCAGGTGCTATTTGTAGAGCAGTAGGGACTTTAATTCTGCTGTGGATTTTATAACAGCTTGTAACAGGGATAAATTTAGATGACTACTTTGTCATCCATTTCCTATCACTGTCCTTTATTTTTTTTCTCTTCGTGATGGAAGTTTTCCACCTTTAAGATAGGACTTGCTGCTACCACAGCCATTGAGCTAAACTTGCTAAGTCCAGGCATAAATAAAGATCCTCCCTTCCTTGCTCTTATTTCCCGGAAACATTTTTCCTTCTCAAATCTTCCCACATTGGCTTTTTCTTTCTTCCCTTCCTCAAGCATCCCCAGCTGCCAAAAAAATTGTGCCTTCTTATAACATCTTTAAAATCTCTTTGCAGTCATTTCCACTGAGGTCCCGCTGGTGCCCACTCTGCTCACATGGTACTTTCAATCAGTGAGCAAATTCTCCAGCTGTGCTGTTTAGAATGATACAAAACAAGCTGATTAGTAACAGCAGCAACAGGAGTAATTAAAAAAGAAACAAGTAAGAATAAAAAAAAAAAAGACAACTCCTTGAACACAGAGTTTTCTGTTAACATTTAACCCTTCTTCCTTTTAGGAAGAAAATCAACATTTTAAAATTAAATGTTTGCCTACAAACTTCTGGTGAATCCAAAATTCATCTTCTATGTGCAAAGCACTAGAAAAGAATACCAGTTACTGGATCTATTACATCTAAACAGCAGAGACATATGTGATGCTACCACTAATGTATAATTTTTTATTTTTTTTTTTAGATTTCTGTAGCCTTTTTTGAAGACAGTGGCTTATTGCATTGAAGATACTGAGTAATCAATCTTTATTTATAAAGCTGTTCTCATGCACAGTACATCTTAAAAGACTGTAAAATAAAACTAAGATAAAAATATCAGTGGTAGATAAAACAGAAATAACTTTATTAAGCAAATGTTTCCAGAAGAGTGAAGCCCATATAAATTATGAAAAAAACATTTGATCAAACAGAGATTGTTGTTAAACTTTAATTTAAATGCATGAGCAGATGTGGCTGACCTAAAGTCATTGGAAACAGTAACACCAAAAAAGCCAGTCTCCAAAATGTGGAGTATGAGATCAGAATTTTTTGCCATTTTCAGTGAGCCTGATTAAATTCCCTCAACTTGAAATCAAAACCAAGGGAATTAAATGAAAATATTTCTATAACAAACAGTGAGATTTGAACTGGGAGTTAAATGAAGTGGGCTGTTAGGAGAAATTATATAAAATCTCATCCAGAATATATACATAGAAGATCTTGTAAAAACTACTCATTCTTTCCAGATACTAAAGATTTAATATCTGGATTCCTTATGCTCACGTATTTATTTCTGAAGATGATCTGCACCATATTAACAACATATACTTGCTATACTTTCTGAGAGGGAAAGTAAAAGGAGTGACTGAATGCAGTGATACATGAAATGCAATATGCCCTTCAGGGGCAGGGTCCTCTTATTTCAGAAAATAAAGGTAGACACGCAAGAACGAATTGAAATGTGGCTGAAGCAATGGGGAAATCTGAGGTCCTAGATCCTGAAACCTTGATTTTTTTTCAATGTTTTTAACCAGGAAAGTCTAAATTCAAAAACATGAACTGTGCTTTAGAGAGGGGCAGCTACCTTCCAGTTGAGTGCTCTAGTCAAAGGGTTTGACCCTTTTTCTCCCTCCTTTCCTTTTGTCTCTCTGTAATTATGTATTTCGCACTGCTTTGTATGCAGCATCAAACACCAAACACAAGAAAGCCTGACTGCCTTTTAGCTATTACCCCCTCATTGAATTTTGAACAGAGCTCAAATCCTTGCAGGCCAACCGTTTCCCAAAACCACTTCCCCTCCTCTCTTTCCAGGTCTTTTAGATGTATCTACAGTGCTAAATGGAAGAGGTCTGGGATGCACACTTGAGCCTTTAGCCATGATTATCCATACCAGCTAGCTGCTAGCATGTTCCATGGCACCTTTTGACCAAGACAAAATTTATCAGGTTCAGAGTTAAGATGATCCAGATGTGGCTTCCAATAGTTGAAATAAATGAAACCGCTTTTTTATTATTATTATTTTTCCCCCAAGGGAAAAAAAAAATATATTAGCCAAATAAATGCATGTTGTGACACACTACGTGTTCTTCGAAATAAATGGTTGTTCTGGGACATTTTACTTAGTAGTACCGACATAGAAAAAATCCCTCCATTATCACAGTTTAACAGAAATAGACCCTAGCTTCCTAATCCAATTTCTCAATTCCAGCTTCATAGAGCTACTGAATCTTACACAAGTATCTCAGTCCATATCGAGACAGGATTTTACATATACCTATATTCCTGGGGCTTCCTCTTGGGAATTACAATCCAGGCATTTAATTTCTCTTACTTAGCATGTAGGACACCTGAGAACTTACTCCCACATTTTGAACCCCACTCCCTAAAGAGATGAGTGGCAAACCTCAGGTTTTATACTGCCAAACTTTCTGAAATGCCCACATTACTTTTTAATTCTCAGCCAACGTATGCTGCTAGCTAAGCCTGAGTACTTGTAGCTTTGCTTCATTTCTCATCTGCTGTCATTCCTCCTCTTCTAGGTTAATTCCTTCCACCTCTCATTTCACATGCTAGTAGAAGCAGAATATCATCAGGCAGACATCACTGAGTATTTGTTTTTATCTCTTCACTTTGGCTGGTTGCTGTTAACAAAATCCTCTCAGGTTAATTTGAGAAGTGTCCTTTTACATCACCTTTATGCTATCATACTCTGGAAATGAACTGTAAGAGAGTACTAAATAAATTCAGACAAGCTTCCCCCCCCCCAACAGATCATGTAACTGCTTGTTTGGCTTGGGGTAATATATACAAAACACCCCAAGAAGTAATTACATAACAGAAAAAGAAGGACATATTCTGAAATCATCTGTTAAGGACAGGGAAAATGTGGAGCTGCTTGGCCTACTTAGTGGGTGTGTATTTCTGCATGTGGGAGCTGAGAAATGATAGGAGCAGGAGGTTAGATATGACAGCCCTACCCCTATCCTGAGCTGACTATCCACCCTGAGTTGCCAGTTTGGAAACAGAACCCCCCCTGCTTGTTAAGTCTGAGCTACCGGCTGTGCTTTCAGGGGTATGTATTGGTACTTGGCCAAATTAAATCACACCTTCTTTTCTTGCACCAAGTCTTCTTGCTCTACAGATCACCTTGCAAAGAAGGCCTGTCATTTTCAGCAGTTGCCTGTCTTCACCTTTGTGCCAACTGCTAATTTTGTCTGTGAGGACTTTTCAGATTTCTTTGAAGGCCCACAGGACCACACATAGGTCACTGATGATTCCTTATTTGCAACTCTGGTTGCAAAAGCTGCAGTCTCATTTACCAAATGTTTAACCTTTTAAATCTGTTTCAATAGCAGTAATATGGGAAACTTTTCACTGATCTCGAAACACTTCATAAAGAAGGTCATCTGGCATTTGTTCTTTTTCTTTACAGACATTTGCCCAAGGTGACCTAAAAGGACAGTGACAGAACTGGGAAAAAATAGAGATCTCCTGAGTTCTTCATCTTCTAGGCATTCTTCAGGAAAGGAAGAAATTAAGAAAAGCTGAGAGATCTTTAATCTCTACCTGAAAAGTCACTTAGAGACATGCAAAAGAAGCTGTATTTTAATAATGCCAGGGAAGGGTAAAGGCTCTGGTTATAAATGATGCTTTTTTCAGAACCACAGAGCTATGACTAAGGCCTGTTACTATACAGCCGTTGAAAATGTTTCAGGTTTATGAGCTAAAGCTGAGACTACTTGCTGTTCAGAATAACATTTATTTTTCAGCTGAAATATTTTGCAGATGCATAGGTAAAAATCTATGCAGAAACTTTATATCTTCATACTTTGATGATACATAAAGGGCATTAGAGATACTTTATGTGTTCAGTTAGATGCAGTCCAGAATGGCAATAGGTCCCTTAAGCATATAACCTTAATGCAAATTATACAGTCCTTTCTGGAAATGCATCCTGTGGACTATAGCCAGATAACTAAAAACTTGTCATATGAGCAGCACAGAGTTCCAGTCAAAGGGCTTCCCACCCAAATGCTTCCTTTATTCTTCATAAGAATTATCTCCCCCAGTCCTGAATGTGGTGTTGTCTCCAGTGTATTGCTAGTCATTGGAACAAAGTTCTTGAGTGGAAGAAGAGGGGTGGGACTGAGGGGGAAGAAATCCACAGAGAAGAAATGGGGACTCTGGACCATCTGTTGTTAAAAGGGAAGACAGATAAATTGAGGTTTATGCAGGATAATTTTAAGCCCCATCTCTAAATTACGCTTGATTCTTTGTATTGTTAAGAAAAGACTTGTCCTCCTGCATGCAGTCAACAACCTTAATTTATTTTGGGGATTACACTGTTTCAGAATTGCTAAGTGACTCATAGTCAGCAGATGATGGAAATTGCATCAGTCCATGCTCTCCTCAAAACAGTGAAGTCACTGCTCCAATTTCTCACACCATTATAAAATACCTGAACTGTAATTAGGACTTGGGCTCGAAGAGTTCTCATATGACTGGAGAAAGATAGATTTTATAATTTTTCATGTAATGCTGGACATCATTTTATCACTCTTACTACAAAAATACTGGTTTATGTCAGTCTGTCACCACTGAAGCACAAGAAATCTTGAAACATATAAATATTTGCATGAATACTAAAATACTCTAGTCCATTCTTTGTTTTCTTTCCAATAATAGGGTTAGTTACTCTACATTTTCTTGATTGATGGATTTTTTTCATCAGTTCAAAACAATGAAGTTTATTTCTTTCCTCATTTGTGATTTTTGGAGCAATGGTAGCCTCTGGTTACTTCCCTGTACCATCTACTGTGTATCCTGGGAATATTTTGGGACCACTACAGACACACATAATTTCAAAATACCTCGGGGATGCTCTCTGTACACCCAATGCAGTCCTTTGTACTGCTCAGATATTTCCTCCAACAGGACAACCAGACTACAACAGATTAGAAATGGCAGCTCCAAATTGTTCAACTGAGATGTTCCTCTGTGTTAAAGGAAACCATTGTCAGCCTCTGAAGATTTCAAACCCACTCTGAGCCACCAGAAGGATGACAAAGAGGCTTGTTATAGAGATTAATTCCTGTACTGACTTACTAGCACAATGCATTAATATGCAAGTTGCTTTACATGATGAAAAACACAAAAGATTTCTTCTCTGATTTCATTATCCTACAAACCAAGGGGTAATATTTATATCTTAGCAAAAGTTAGCGTTTCTGAAATAGGAACCTTATGAATGATAGTCAGTTAATTCAAGTATATAGGAATACATAAACTGTACATATATGCATATATGCATGTGTGCATGTATGAGCTTTGTGATTAAGAGTTGAAAATTGCCAAGCAAATTCTATTCACTAAACTCGAATTGACCAAATGCATGCAGCATTTTTGAGTGCCAAGTAAGGCTAATTACAATACTCAGCTGGTCTCCAACAAATGAGTGATTTTAACTGTTTGTTTTTCAGCTGCCAGATGGAGTGAAACACATTAGTCTGTACCATGCATCTAGGGATAAGAAAAATCTCTAAAAATTCAGATTGATTGTTTCTGACAAGAACATTTTGTACCTCCACACCATGTATGTTTGTAATTCCAACTTTCAACTAAAGAAACAATTGTTCATCTCGCCAGCACACTCCTAAGGTAAAGCTGCATAATATCCATTTTCCAAAAGGATGCACTGGACCGGAGATTTTAACTGATTGAATTCTAGGTCACAATACCCTGTACTTAACTGGTGGTATATAGGAGTCTCTGAGGTTTGCCTTAACTCTACAAATAGCCCTTAGATTTTTCACTGATACATGGATGGGCAATATGGTATGAATAAAGTACTGATGGATCCATGTGGGATTTGAGAAATACAGTTTGGGCAGATCTCACAGTGCTACCTACCGTGCTTTGATCGGAACATAGCAGGACCCAAAAGAGTTTATAAAAGGCTGTTTTGAAATTAGTGTTCTTAAGTTTGGATGAGAGCTCGGAGTTTAAATCAGCCCATCTGGCAGCGCTGCTTAAGTGCTTTTTACATCTGGCTGGCACCGGGGAGTTGGATCGTGATCCCCTGACGCAGCTGGACACCAGCTCTCTTTGCATGGGGGCGATGGCACCACATGGGGACTAAAGTGCAAATGAAGTTACTGCAGTCTGACCCTTTTGCTTGTATAATTAGAGTGATCCGAGGGGAACAATACTTTTGAAGTTGCAACTGCTGCTTCAGCCACATCCAGCTGATAGTTTGACAGATCGGTGAAAACAGCATGTGTCATGACATTTGAAGACTAATAAGCAATCCCAGGAAACTTCAGAACAAGCTGTGTATGTGTGTGTATCCACTTTTAATTTGCATTTAAATAATTCTGTGTGTTATTTACTGATGTTTTGAATCCTTTTCCCCTCCCTCCATGTATCAGCAGGAGATTGTTATGTAAGAGAAGTCAAAAAATCTGGTTTTCACTGCTGGAGGCTGATATGTATACGAAATTCTATTTATGTCCTTACTGCTAGATAAGGACATCTTTAGAATTTACGCAGCCCACAAACATGAAGGATTTAATCCACCAAGGGTTTTACTGTGGCAGAGAAATATAAGCCAAATAAAAAGAATGAAAGAATAAATGAATAATAATTATTCTGATATAGGTAGAGCCAGAGAGTATCCTAATTCCTTTGCGTGATAGGACCAAATATCTCTGAGCTGTTCAAACAGAGAAATAAACACCATGATGTTGAAGATCCCTGGATAGATACGGAGTCTCTAAGTTCTTTCAAACATGGGTTTAAAGACAAAGGTTTGGCTTTATACTTAATGTGAGGGGAAAACCTGAAAGACATGTCAAAAGAATTGCCATATGTACTTTACATTTTTAAAATGAAATCCAGTGTAATATTTTAGCTCCAAATGGTTTAGGTCCAAATTGAATTTCTCCTAGTGAAACGTAGACTTTCTTTTCATCTAGTGACATCAGGGTATACACGTTTACCAGACTATCTGAACAGCTGTCTCAAAACCACCCCAAAACAAACAAGTTTCTGAGGATTTTCTTCTCCTTTCACTTGTGAGTAAACGGCTTATAATGTCTACCTTCAGCAATTTTTTGAGCTGAGAAGAATTTCCTATACCTATGACCTCTGAGCATCCTACACCTAAAGTTTCCCGTTTGTTTCTCCCTACCCCTATCCTGCGCGTTAAGACCACAAAAAGGTTTATGAAAAATTTGACTGAAATTTGTTTCCTTGTGCCATCTGGTGGACATTATTTGTAAATGCGTAATAGCTTGTGCTTGAAGGTATTCCACCACTGTTGCATTGTCAGGGTTTCTTTTGCGAGACAGCATTAACTCTGGAAGAACTTCAGCTAATGTAAATATTTATGTATGCCTCACTTTAATAGTATGCTACATTTTTATTTTCTGGAAGAATAGAGGAGCACAAAAGTTAAAGCAGAGTGAAAAATTGTTCTGTAGTTTGCAGGCAATTCTGTATTTTGAGAGCTGTTACATTTACTACACGGGCTTTTTCTGCAATACTACTCCAGTGAAAAAGCCTTATAATATATCAAAAATAGTTTTCCGGAAAACTTTGAAAATGTCATCAAAATGGTAATGTTGTTCGTTTGGTAAAAGCAAAACTTACTGTTTTTCTTAGTTGCTTCAGAAACTTCCATTTAGTAAACTGTCAGAGAACTAAGTAAATGAATATTTTATTTAAAAGTTTTTTAAATACCACATTGAAATATTTTATTTAAAGTCACTAATAAAGGTACATAAATAGTTATTGTTCAGGCTACAGGTTTGGGTTTTTTTTTCATTTACTGCTATATTCATATGTATATGTGGGTAACATGACTTGCTCCACTTAAACTAATCACATATTATTTATTCGTGTCTAGTATGCACAGCCCCATCCCAACTACCATTCCATCATTTTTATTGATGGAAGTTGTTTGTATTGGCTGTAAAGTCCATGAAACTTTTTCTAAATAAGAGAAGGGAAAGTTTCAAAATTACTTGCTACATTATGAGAAAATAATCCCTCAGGATTTTCATTTTTTCCTGGGGAATTTTCCCCTTGTTGGTCACATGGGTGACAATCCCAAGTAATGTTCATACAGAAATTCAGATTTATCCTGTGAGTAAATTGATATCAAATCAATTTACATTATGGTATTTCCAATTTTAAAATTAGAGATATGAGAGACCTTAGAATGCAGTTCTCATTGAACTTACTTTTTTTTTCCCAATAAAATTTGTATTTTTCAACTAAAGTTAGATGAAAACATCTCTGCTTCATCTGGTGTCTTCTTACATGTCATGAGTCTATTATGAAAAAAGTTGCATTTAGTTAGGAATTAACTTTGGCTTTCAAAGCTTAGATAACTGTTACACTCAAAGTGTCTCCTTTCTGTGCATGCGTGTCTGATTAACAATTAACCAAGAATTACTTTACCAACTGTGTCTAATTTAGCTTTTGTGCCTAATTTCTAAGATTAAATTAAAAACAGATGGCCCCTGAGTGGTAAAATAATCATAAATTAGTCTTATATATTGAAATTAACATGGCAAAATATTAAAGTGAAACTGAAGTACGTTTTTTCCTGTGCTTTGCTTTTCATAAAAGTTAGAGTGATGGCATGTGTAATTGAGCAATCTTGTGCTACAGAACTGGAGCCCTAAAACTCCATCTGTCCAGAGAGTCACCTCCTATGATGTGGGGTACTTTTCCACAGAATTACATAGAAGAGTTTTCTGTTCTTAACTACATACTCCATTAAATAAGACAGAACAAATATTAAGACTTAGACATCTGCCCCAGCTCACAATGTAGTTTAGGGGCATAGGCCCTATGAATTCTGTGAGATTTAGGCACTTTTTCTTTCTGTGCCCTACATACTCTTGCACACTCATCTCCCTCAGCTCCACATATAGTCAACAAAGAGCTGCTTATCTCAGCATGCAAGAACAATCAGGTTCCAAGAATTTAATTTAAATATGTTTAAATTCTCATTCTTGTTCCTAGAAAGTCTCTTTGAGGGCAAGGTTCCCCTCTCAGGCTTTCTTCCTAAGATTTTGACATGAGATAGAGAGATCTCCTCAGTCTACATGTACTTCTTATGAAGATTTGCAACCTGCACAGACAAGAAGAGTTGTTTTTGTGAACAAGTGGGACATGTAAATATGGAGCACGGACACAACATAAATAGAAAGCTTTCTGCTCATTTAAACCGTGTTAAAGGCATAACCTAGCCTGAGACACACTAATTAGTTAATTTATAAGAAGGGTAGGAAAGAGAGCTTGAAGAATTAAGTCAACAGTATGAAACTTCTGTCATTATTTTATAGGTGGGCAGCCTATTGATATTTTTTTCTGAGGATCATCAAGCACCTTCCAAGTGGTTTTGTTTTATCTCTTCTATTTGGAAGGGCTGAGAAGTACCCTCCATCTCCTTCCTCTCATCTGTCCTGCTTCTCCTCTCCTGTTACAGTAACCACCAAACCATTCTTCAAGAAAGCTGTGCCTACAAGCATATAGCAAAGTATGCACAGAAACGAAGACAACACAATCAGAGTTGATTTATTGCTGTCCTCAAAGCTTCTGTTCAAAGGACTCCTGCTGACTGTGGGATAAGAAATCAACATTATGTCCCTAGAATCATGTCAGAATTAACCCTCTGACCTCAAGTTCTCTTTGTCCTCCTGGCTGACCCACACAATAAAAATGTTTTCCTAACAAAAAATTATTCTCTTTTTATGTGTGGAAATCAAATAGCTTTGCTGAGATATTTTTGATTTTTTTTGCTGATACATCAGCTCTGTGGTAAGAGAAAGCCTATGCCACAGGACACAAAATCAAGAGCCATTAGTGCATGTTTACGCTTGAATATCCCAGATTTCTATGTCAATCTACATGTACCCTTCCTGTTCCCATGTGACTGAGATCTGA